CAAAAATTTGAATAACTAGGTAATAAACACATATGAATGCACTCACATAAAATAATAAATGTAATTTTATGAATAAATCATTACTGGATCTCCATTAGAGATTTCTGAAACTCTCTGTCTTAACATGTGGTTCCCATTGTCTTCTCTTCCATTGTTCTTTGATGATGTTGAAGAGAGGACTGGTGAGTGACTCAATAAACCAAGCCAATCTTCCCAGTACATACTTTTAACATGACATCCTACTTTGTACTACTATTGAAATTATAGATAAGCAGGTCTTGAATTATAGATATTCATGCACCTATCATCAGAACTGGTTAGCCATGGATCCTCACACATTCCCTAGTCATGCTAGAAGACAAAGAGCCTGACATTTACCATCTTAGAATATCTGGTGATTATATCCTATAAATTTATTTTAGTATAATTAGCATCAACCAATCTCTTCACCTAAACAGACATTCTTCAGACTATCTCATATCACACATCTCAAATCTTATTACTTTATTTATTTAGTGTGTTTCTCTCTGTGTGTATTTCTTTGTGTGTGTCTGTTTGTGTGTGTGGGGTGTTAGATGCATGTGCCATTGAAAAGCTAGAGGAACTCAATTCATTACTTGTACCATGTAAATCAAAGTAATAACTGAAGTTCTCAGCTTTTAGATAATATTTTAGTTTGGTGTTTTTTAGTTTTTTCTTTTAATTTTTTATTGGATATTATATTTATTTACATTTCAGATGTCATCTCCTTTCCCCATTTCCCATCCCTAGAACTTCCCTATCAAACCCCCTCCTCCTTTTTGCTTTTATACCATTTGAATTACATGCAAGTATTCAGGTCAGTTCTAGGTTGAGGGAATAGCAATACAATAGATGCAAATAGTCAAGCAGCAAACAAAACAATAAACACAAATAGTCAAAGAACCAGCAAGGCAATAAACAAAATTTTGTTTTTTTGAAATGTTGTGGTATTGCACTGATTTCCAAGTTACCTTGAGTAATCCCTACTCTAAGGGATAAATCAGCCTTTGACCTAACTAATACAGTCCACAGAGATATTTAAATACTGTTCAGGATTTTGAATGTCCTCTGACCATAGCAAATCAGATCTATATTTGAGAGAAATGTGAATGAACACTGAGATAAAAAAATCTATAGTCACAGTGCCTGGTTAGAAATCATACAGGTCTTAGTAGAAATTAAATGATGAGTGAGGAGATATGAAATCATGTACCATCTCTCTCTCTCTCTCTCTCTCTATATATATATATATATACATGTATATATATATATATACATATATATA